TCAATTTTAATATAAAAATTTAATTTTATAGGTCAAGTGGAGCTTGTTTTTGGTCAACTTTTTCAAATATTAATTTCAAAAAGAAACTTCAACCAATCATTCTTCTTTGTCCAGACTTGGTTTAAAGTATATGGACAGCAAACAATTGATAGTAGCGAAAAGCAAAAGTAAAAGCTGAGCTGCTACCTCTGCCAGTGTCGGAGGTCCCACCCTTTGCAAATGGCGTGTTAATTTGTCTCTGCAAAAGTACCGCATTCAGAATTGGATTTCCATTCTAACGCAATTCATTTCTTCCCAGCCTGGTTACTCAGAATTTGGCGTTGTTAGTTGATTGACAGTCACATGCTATAACAGAGGGTAATCAATTTATGACCATGATTACATTGGAGAAAACTTTTTCTGAGGTGACCCCACAACCTTGTCGGTTGGGTGTTTTTTTCCTTTCTGTAAATGAGTTGCTATTGTCCTTATGTATGAATGGCTCTAGTGGGAACAGTAGAATTGACGGATAAATGAGGGCGTCCATAAAAATTGAGGGTAAATAAAGGAAGAGAAGGAGTAAGTAAAAACTAACGTGGAATTTTTATCCAAAAAAAAAAAACTAACGTGAAATTATATATGCATAATTCTCTCATAATATTATCTGTAGGGCATTTTAAGTTTTCAACAAATAGTTGATCGGCACCAAAAATAAGAGGATATGCACAAGCGGCTGAAATTATCGTTATATTTTAAATAATTAATATTATATTTTTTATATAATTATTTATTATATTATATATATTTTTAAAAATTTATATTTTTTATTTTTAATAAATTAAAAAATATAATATTTAATTAAAAATATATAATATTAATAATTGAAAATGTGATAATAATATCATTTTGCACGAGCTGCTGAACTTTTCGAATCTATAGGCCTGTTTGGTTGGGCTTCCCCGGATTCTTTTTCTAAGAAGTGGCTAATCGAATAAGCCCATAAGAGAGGGATGCAAAAGGATCCACCCCAAGGTCCTGTCACTTGCACGTGCAACTGTGCATCGTCTGATCAATGCTCATGAGGTGTTGATTTGAAGTTGTTTTCTGATGCATCCTTTCTCCCGTTTCAGTATCGTCCATAAATGGAGTAAGATGGTTGATACGCTACAAATACGCATAGAGAATGAGCGACTAATGGCACTAAATAATAAACACCATACACTCCATTGATTTGTTGTGTTTTTTTTTTTTTTTTTTTTTGAGGGTTTAAAAGCATTTCTCAAAAAATTCCTCGTTTTGGCAAAGAAAAAAATATTTATGAGTCTGACTTAGTTTTATAAATTAAAAAAGAGTGAACATAGACTATATATAGTGATTAGTTTGTTCATACCAATCGATAACTAAGTAATATTTTTGGATTGTTAGATAAATATACATATAATAGTAATATTTAAAACATATTAACCAATTGTTTGTCAAAATAGATGAATGATATATAAAAGATACACTAATGTAGCAAATTACACAGCCATGGCATAAATAGAAATGCATATACCATGACTATCTTTTACATTGAAGGAAATATGATGATAGAAATAGCTAGCCAAGGCGGTCCTCCTGCCAGATTCTTTCATGTAGTAGTCCTCAAGGCCCCATTCCCTGTGTGCAAGTTGAATCTCTCTAGGAAAATTTGATGATTCCTATCTCTCCACTTTCCTCTCTAGATTTTTGACATCTCTAGTGTGCATCCACTTCCCTTCACTCCCCAAACAAATAACTGGACAACTCCCTCTACAGGCCCTCTCTTCATTTGCATACACCTAATCTCCTAATTTCTACTTACTGATGAGAGGGTTTTCATTGGAAGTCCGCTTGAATGGCATTGAAGAGAACTAATTCTCAGGGAGCTTAGGGAACGACAGAGATATCCTTCCCAACTCATGAGCTGAACATATTAGGCAGTAGTAACAGCAAGTAACTAACCTAGGTTTTCAATCTCGTAGCTAGTGTTGTAATTGTGAAGAGGAAATGGAAGCCATGATAGAATAAGCATAAAGAATCATGACTGTTAAGCTTTATTTCAATAATTATATAATAAAAGGTTCGACTGTTCGAGTGTTGCAATTCTGTGCAAGAATAAGATTGTGTAGTTGGTATACGAATTCAACATTTCTTTTTCGAAAAATCAAATTCCTTAAGAGTTTAATGCATATACATAGTATATAATACCTAGTTTAGGACAATAAACAGTTGTCAACCTAGGAACATTAATATCTGAAACTTAATCGTCAAACGCAATAAATAACAACAATGAGAATTAAATATGATATGGGAAATGACAGGGTTCAATCTTCAACCTTCTTTATTGCTCCATTGTTTTGCGGCATAGCTGTTGAGGGTACCCTTGGGATCAGCTTTGCATGCAAGAAGAGTTCTTGGTAAATTTAGAGGGATAGTTTACCAGTGTCATGAATTAAAAATGAAGGGAATAGAAGCCAGATCTTATAGAATTTGAATGGACGGTAGAATGGTTTTGCAATCATAAGCAGAAGACAATTTGTCCTGTTACAACATTAAGATGAGTTTTTCAGTACAGAAGATATCCATAGAACTTTAATTAATAAACATTTATATAAAAAAATTCAACTACCAATGATCCCTTGGTTCAGTAGTAAAGCTATGCTATGAAAAATAAAAATATGTTATAATTCCAATATCCATCAAGGCAATAGGTTCAAACAGTTGAATATAACAGAACGAAGTAGAGGTTTCTTTTCCCAATCTTCTTCTCATGCCGTTAAGAGCAAATGGTTTAACTGAAAACCAATGTACTTGCTTAATTTGATACCTGAAGAATATCAAGGCAAATATTCCCAAACTGATCAACATTCAGATGGAAGCACATGGTTTCAAACCTGACTTGAGGTGGCTTGAAAGGGTAGTCTAATGGGAGTTGCAGGGAAAGTTTGTATGAAAAGCCCTCATACATAGTTCCTTTTCCACCTTTAATTGTGCCAATCCATGTCAAAAAATGCTCTCTCCTTCAGAAAATGCTAATACTCCAGATCTCCTCCACTCATCTACATAGAAGACAATCAAGTATTAAGTGAAACTGTAGTTCTAATGGAACTAATAACAAAGGCTTTTCCTACATAGGAGGTAACGTACTGTGTACAGTTACCAAGTCATCTTAAGCACCTAAATGCTTTTTAACAAACATGGTCCCAACTCCTAACAATTAATTTCAATAATTTTTTGAAGGATGGCATAAACATATTTGGAACTAGGAAGCACTCTTCTCTTACATTATGAGTTATAACCATGAGCTGCCCCTTGACTTGAACTCAAGAGAAGTCATATTTCATCGACAAGTAAATACCCATTCTTGAACTACCAATGACACTACTTAGAAATGAGAGAATGAATTCTAGTCAATAACACACAAACTTTCCCATCTTAAATAAAAATCCCACTTGCCTGTTGCTGAATGTGCCTTAGGATACAAATGCACCACCTTTTAGTGGCATGCAGCTCAGCGACATTTCCATAGGTAAAGAAATATGTTCAGTTGATTGCATTAATGGTTGATGTGTAAAACTCAGTAAAAGAAAAGAAACATTTTTTTTAACAGGGGAAATTTAACATGCAGATGCACATTAACACACTCTGAGTAAGTTTGAAAATCAGTTGAGTTGATCTAAAGACATAATTAAGCACCATCAAAAAACTGATTTCTCAGGAAATTGCACATGTAGTGAAAAAAAAGAACTTTCACCTCTTTTTCATTTGTCATGGAATAATCTTGGCATAGCATCTCCCTCTAAGCTTTCCCTCCTCCCCGACTCCCTTGTTGCTGTGTGGAATTTGCCTTAATCCAAGAATTAAAACAGTTCTGGACGTCCATGATCTATGACAATTATAGGACTGCATGCAAGAGGGGATTTAAATATTCATGCAACCAATTAATTGATTACAGATACCACTGGATACGTGTTTCTAACTATGAGAAGGTTTGTCATGATTCCTGATAGGGGGTATTGTTTCAGTGTCATGAAATTTTGTTACAGTGATTTGCTACTGCCTAAGAACTCACACATAATGCTCTTTTGTTTGATGAAAGAAGATAAGCACACAATTAATAGAAAGAAAAATAATATAAAGTAACCACCTGAGAAAATATATATAAAAATTATAATAACCAAAACAACCAAAGGTTTTTGGAAAATAAAAAGAAATAAATGTCCCCTTAGTCAGAAGTTAAAGTAATGAAGATCCACAAACAAAGAGCTCAAACCAAAAATATGCATCACTGAAAGCAATCATCATAATTACTGTATCTATGCAGTGCAAATATTTCTACCTTAATAAGCACGTGCAAGAAATAAATAAATAAAAAGGATCTGGGAAATTTTCTAAATTATCATGGTTCATGACAATGGTGCTCATTTAGCTCTAGATACAGACATGAACTGTAGATCAAATTTAATTAAAAAATAGGCTTTAGATACATTGGAATTGATTAGTTGATATACTATTATAGTTACATAGGTTTATTTAGCTTAAGCTCACACTTTTTGCTTGATAAGACAATAAACCCACTACTAAACTCTTGTTAATTCAGTAGCCGTAGTCCAACACCTTAATTTCTTTTCTAATTCTTCTACCTTAAAAGCAACAGATACAACCAAAGGAAAAAAAAAAATGAAAGAAGAAAAATGTAGAGCAAGCCAAAGTAAGATTTCAAATAATTGACAGAAGACATATCATTCAAATTACCTTCTAAACTCATCAATTTCCACCTCTCCAGCACTGTGTATCATCATCAAACATCAAAGAATTACTTTTAAAAAAGCTAAAAATTTAGCAGGTAACAACCACTTTGACCAAAAAATCCACTTGACATAGATCGGCAAGCAAAAGCAAAATGAAGGCAAGCTAATAAGTTCTCATAACTCTGCATTATATATCTATATGAATGATCAATTTAAAATTGCAAATTTATAAATGTATATCAAATTGAATTGTCAATTTGTCATATAATTTGTATGAAAACACCAAGGAAAAGCGAATGAAAAAATGAAAAAAATCAAAATACCACAATGTCAATGCCAGATATTTCACCCCAAACTTAAGGGAAACATCAATCTCAAGAAATTAATGGAACTTTAAAGAGGGCCAAAAACTAAAAAAATGAACTTTAACATTACAAAGCTACTAAAACATTGTCACTCCTTTGCACTGATTCTAAATAAATCAAAAAAGAAATCACTTGGATTAAGAAAAATGAAGAAACCCTAAAAGGAAGAATGTGAGACTCACTTGTGAGAGTTGACTCGAGTTCTAGTAAGTTTAGTTGCCAGATTTCCTCTCTATTGTCTTCTCCTTTCTGCCTTCGCATTGTTTATGAACCCTAGCTAACCCAATTGATTTCCTTGCTCACTCATCACTGTTTCCCTTGTTGTCCATTTTGAAAGCCATAAGCCACCAGATGGATTCCAGTGGCAAAATGAAGCCATGCCAAGGATGATTATTCAATGACTGATTGAGAAATATGCAGTACAGTAATGAGAGAAAGAGGTATAGATGTGACATACTGGTAGGTACAAAGGAGAATGCATTTGACCATATCCTCAAACAAAGTAGGGGATCTGAATACCCTTCCACTGAACCTCCTCAAGCCTTCTACTTCTTCTACCCCAACTGCTTCAACAATCTCCTGAAACTCATTCACCTTATTCTCCTCACTATCTGACAAACACAACATCCTTTTCACCTAACCCTGTTAGAAGATAATCCTACTTAAATCAATGCAATCAAACTGACACAAAGAGGATGAAGCAGAAAAGACTCCTTCGTGGATTGGATGGAGGGTTCAATCATTAAGGAATTGGTAATAGTAATACCACCTCTTCACAATGAACCTCAAAACTTGAAGACTACTTGTGCAATTCCAACTGAACCTCACCTAGTTGAATGGAGGGAGGGTTCAATAATTAAGAAATCCACACCCTTAGCTTCTACTATAGTCCTGCATCATGTTTTTCTTCCAACTTCAACAACCTCAAAACTAGAAGACTGCTGGTGCAATTGCAACTGAAGCTCATAAAGTGCCTTAGCCATGCTCAAAGTTGACCTTCCCCTTTCCCCTCTTTCTAAGAGGATTATTCAGTTGCAAACTAAAATTACGAATCCATAATTGCATACAAACTACTTTAGAAGTAAGAACATAGTTCAAAAAAAGGTCAAAACAGAAAAAGTATGGAAAGTTAGACAAAGGCAGTCAGGAAATTGGTACAACAACTGTTTGGAGAAACCTCAAACCTGACAATTTGAACAGAGTCAGTCTCATGATCTCTGAGAAACATGATTCTAAAGCTCAAGTGATTGTTTATAAAGTACTTATCCTCCTTGCTCTGTAAAGACAAATAAATGGTTAAGAAGGCAACAGCATCAAACTTCTACACGGACACAGATCTTTTAAAAAGCATTATTTGAAAAAAAAAATAATAAAAAGAGAATCAAAAGAACTGATTGTACTAAATATGAAAACGAATAGAGATTGTCTTTCAATTACTTTTATTTGGCATGACGTAAAATTTTTACATTTTCATAGCCTGTACCTTGTTAGAATAGTTATACAGAATTATTCCTTCCAAACTCTGACTTTTTTCTTCTTTTGCCATCACTGAGCAATAGATATTGTTGTTAAGCAAGAAAACAAATTCTAGAACAGCAAAAAAAAAAAAAAAAA